ATGTTCGTCCCGCATGGCATTTGTGAAATTACTTGATCGTTCTCCTCTTTAGTGGATTGTTCCTCATCTACGTAGATGACTATTTGCGAAGAACAGATTAGTCCTTGATCATTTTCGGTTCTTGGCATTGATTTCTCTTTCTTGATGGCTTTTTAAGTAGTGTCGACGTCCTCGTCATAGGCATCCTTCTCTGACATTTTTGAGGTGGCAAAAATATCTTTCACGGACTCATGAATGACTCCAGCTCTGCCGTTCTTGCAGTTGATCTGCAATTTATGACGCACATCGTCAGAGCGAGTTAAAATGCACTCAATTAATGAGAAATATATTGAAAATGTAATGAACTATCCAATGACATATCAATTGTCCATTTAATTGTCAATGTTATCAGCTAGTTGTTACTTCACTCAAATCTTTAATCATTTTTACCTCTGATAAGTTGTATTGTAGTTGCATTCTCCTTGGACTGTTGAGAATTCACGGAGGCATATTTAGAAACGATAAAAGTAAGTATTGGAATCTCGATTGTACAATACCGGTCAAGGACTGGCTTTTATGACAATCTCGTAAAAACAAAGGATATCTTATCACGTTTTATGGATCAATTTGGAGTTTAATGCTTATGATGTTCTACTTAAATCTATTTGACTTGCCAGTATTGAAACAAGTTGTTAGCTCAATGGACAGAGCACTGGACTGTTGTGCGGTTGGTCGAGGGTTCGAGCCCCGGCCGGACCAACACTCAAGGTCTTAAAATAATTCAGAAGAATATGCTACCTCTCAATAACATCAAGAAATGATTAGATATTCTAGTCTTCTCGACTAGGGACGAATAAATGGAGGTCCCGTTTCCTGCAGGGTTAGGGGTAGGAGACGTTAATTTCCCACGCACGAGATTACTGTGGATGTCCTCCCCTGGGGTGGGATGGGTGGGTTAATAATATTCGAATGTATTTAGAACGAGTCGCGGGCTCATTATACATCTCGAATTGAAATAAATGAACAGAAAGACAGACAGATAACACAAAATGTGGAATGATGTGATGTTTTGGTATTCACAAATGATTTTCTACAATGCTTATATTCCATTGCTTATAGGAGCCTAGTAGTTTAATGTTACAACTGAAATTTGATTAGTATTATGTTTTCCAAGTAATGCCCAGAATTATTCAGCCCTTAACATATCTTGACTTCCTGTAAGCTTGGCAGTCTTCTAAATTCTCTTCATAATGGTTCAGATGAGCATTGATATTTAAACTTGGTAATAATACATGTGTATAAGGCTTTTATTTGGTTGACTACAACTCCTTTTCAGTCACTTGTTTCGTTTTGGTTAATTCATCACAATACATGAAAAATTACACTCTTGATTGTCTGAAAACAACTACGTACCGACCAGTAGTCTACATTTGTAGTACAAATGTAGACTACTTGTAGGCTCAGCAACAATGGATCAAACTAGAAAGCAATCAGATTTACACGAAGTAGGTTGTGCTGATTGAAAAACATAGTAGCAGATAAAAATAAACAAACGCTTTAATGTTTTAGATATATCGACAGACACTGACAAAATTGCATTCATGAGTAAGATTTCAGCTGAAGGACAAATTTTGATAACATGTCAAGTTGACCATTTAAATACGATGATGACAAGTTCACTTATTCATTTCATGTCTCCACATAGCTTGAATTTGGGAAACACACTGCCAAGAAATAACAACATCAATAATAAGAAAACTTGAAAGATTCTGGTACTTAAAATCATATGATACCATCATGCGCTGGCCTGTACATTGAATCTTGTTGTGTTAAAGTTGTCTCTGATTATTGTTTCTGAAATCTGTTGTAGTGACACTTATCTCTATTGAACTTTCTGTTAGATAAAACCTGTTGAAAACGTGAGTCTTATTGGGTTAAAAATTATTAGCATTTTTAATGTAATGTTACTTCAGAGTACTACCTGACATAGGATTCATTAAAATATAATTGCTTGTGCACCTATCTTTTTCCCCTAAATTCTTTCATTTGCAACCCCATATCCACTTACCTTAACTAAATTTTTCTGAGTTTTTTATTGAAAATACAGTCCCAAAAAACCCAAATACAATAATTAGAGTAAACGCTTTGCTCTCAACCAACTGAAAAGAGAACTTTGTGCCCTAGTGAACAATAGAAACCTATGCTCAGCATTGTGTTACTTTACCTCTATGTATTGTCCAAACTTAGTCATGATTCAAACCAAAGCTCCCAATGGCTTCTGGTGTAGATTACATAATTTCCCGAATGTCTCGGCCCTTCTGGAAAGTTATGTTCTCATGTACTGGTACATAAAATGCCAAAAATATTCATATGAAATGCTTCCCAAGCCGGCTAATTTCATGTCACTTGCCTCGGAAAAGACAATCAACCTACAAATTTAAGAAATCAATTCTACCTCATTATGTAAACAAAATCATAACTGAATCTATCAGGCCACTATGGGAGATGATGGTGACGTTTTTTTTAGATCCTAAAATCCTCAGGTTACATGTGCAACCTTTGTTATCAAGAAAGGACCTCCATGACAAAGTTTGGCTATTAACCCTAATCTTGAAAATGAAAATGAAAATTTCAGGACTATTCACTAGTTACCGGTATCTTATTTTATGGATGAACAGGAACAATATTGAAAACTATCTAACCGTAATCAGCTATTAGGTCTTCTAATAGAAGCTCAATAAGACACCAGACACTAAAAAGCAGCTCAATTTGGTAAGCCACACATGTACGCATTGCGGACCTATTTTTAAGAAAGACAGGAAACTGGGCTTCACAAGCGTGTGACTTCAAGTAGTCACCTCCATTTTGGTCAGTAACTCATTCAAAATGATTTGAAGTAGCACCAGCTTATGTTTGAGCACGGAGGAGCAAAAAGGGTTATGAATATGGCTGGAAAGTCATTGAAAATAGACTGCAATGTAAGGCACTGATTATAAGAAAATGATGCAGACCCGTATAATACCTTGTTCATTTGTCGAATTTATTGCATGCATCACAAGACCAATGGAACATAATTGATAAACATATACCCTCCAAGATACTCGAGGATTTCAAAGAAATTACTCACTAGAGTACTGTCATGAGATCCGAATTGCGAAACCAAAATGTCAAGCTAATCAGACCCTAATAAAACAAAAAAAAAATATAGAAAATGGCAAGGGTCGATAAGAGTGACAGGCTGGAGCAATTCTTTCATTACCAGAGATTTCTACAGTCACACGTACCATTCGCCTTAAAAAAAAAAATAAAAAAAATAAATAAATAAATAATAATAATAATAATAATAATAATAATAATAATAATAAAGCTTATTGGGATGTCCCTATATATGCTGATCAACAAGAGGTCAGATGCAATAGGGTGGATGCACGCATTGTAACTCATATGTGCAAGAGGGTTGTGACGCTGGAAATGAGCTGCCCGTGGGTTAACAATCGGACAAGAAAGGATGAAGAGAAGACACTGAAGTACAGACCCCTTCGCTGGGAACTAAGGCGGCAGTTCCCAGGCTACCAGGTGAAACAATATATAACATCATTATGGATGCCCTCGGGGGGTGGTCACGGGAGCTGGATGTCATGATGCGCGAGCTGGTGGGAGGCAGAAGCACAGACGTACTGCGAAAGATGCAGAGGGCAGTGCTCTCGGGCACGCTGAATATTTCCCGGACTTTCAAGGTGGCAGTTTGAGTTCCTGTTAGAAGGAGGACCGTAGACACAACGGAAAAGCTTTTTAGGATTAGTTAATGTACATTTATTTTTTACTCCATGGCTCACAGGTTACGGTTTTCGCCCTGTGCTGCCTGATTAGAATGTAGCATTCAGTTGATTTCTCTGCGATAATAGTAACAAATATCTTTAGCCAGGAGGCAACCTCACCCTCANACTACCATTGTGATGTCTATTCTTTTATCGGTGGATGTGCAAGTTTTCGGAGTTTAATTCGAATTAAGAGAGGAGCTTTCAAGCCTGAATACCTTCCCGCTCGTTCATTGTTTTCGTGGAGCAAACATAGTTACACTTGCATCTTCCTTCCCTCGACTACTGACATTACTAACTGCATGGATGTGGAACTTAATCCGGGTCCCTTTATTTGTCCGCGTTCTATAATAATAATAATAGTAATAATAATAATAATAATAATAATAATAATAATAATAACTTTTATTTATATAGCGCTCATATCCTGAGCTCATGGCGCTTTACAACACTGTACGGGGGACTTTACCAGACTGCTAAGCAGTTTACAATCAATGAAAGGCGAATCTAACAGATGCCCCCTCTCTCTAATTCCCAGTAAACAGGCCAGACCACATCACAGTAATCTCGCGAGTGGGTTCTTTAACGTCCCCTGCCTAACCAAATTAACTAATAGATGCAGGAGACGGGACCTACGGTTTATTCCTCCTTTTCCGAGAAGACTAGAATGTCGATCCATTTCTTGATGTTATAGAAAGGTAGCACATTCTCCTCAGTTACTTTAAGACCTTGAGTGTTGGTCACTTGCCTCGGAAAGAAAAGACCTCGTTGCAGTTGTTTTGACGATGTATGCTTTTATATCTCCGCCGCACAATTACAGGGCGTTTCACTGAGTGGAAATATCAGCGGTCGGTTTCCCTTTTCTTGATCTCAGTTTCTATGGATGATTTCTTGGAGTTTTTCCGACCAAACGACGCCAATGACGCGCGAAGTAATCACTAACCTTTTGTCTGTGCCCATAATCTGAGACGTTTGGAAACTTGTTGGGCGTGTTGTTTGCTACAGACCCCCAACCTCTCCTTTTCCCGTTGGAAAGAGTCAAGAGAATGGCCCTTCGCCATTTAATATTCGATATTAAATTCGTATGATTCGTTAATTCGTTTGATTAACATTAATAGTACGCCTGTGGCCGTTTAGCATTGCGTGAGAATAGATCAGATACCGTGTCACGCTAGTATGCTACAGCTGAGTGATTTTCCGGTTGCCGTTTCTAGTATTATTGAAGTTGACCTTCTACCTTCTTCGAGTATAATCGAGTTCTCCTCATCAAAATGACTGAAAGCAAGGGAACAGGTATGTGAGTAACTGATATAATTATACGTATAATGCACGATCCTTCGCAGTAGATAGCGCTATTTATGCTATTGCATAAATAGCGCTATCTACTGCGAAGGATCGTGCATCATACGTATTTAATACCGCAGTTCAAAATATATGAACTTCATATATTCATTGTATCTGATATAATTATGTCATGAAAATAACGCCTTCTCCGTGTAATCTAAAATTTAAACTTAGACAATCCTTGACATGAACATAAGATCGCTATGGCTATATGCCAAGCAGTCGGGCACGGTCTTAAATAGACTAAATGCCCGGCAGTCAGAAAATTTCACCGAATTTTCACTGAAAGCTTCTTTGAAGCTTCTTTAGAGTATGACATGTTTCTTTATCAATGTCAAGCGACTCTAAAAATTATTTACCATAAAATGGCCATCTCGCGACACTTAGGCTCAAACACAATAGCGAAATATTCACTTAACGAATTCCGACTGAAAGCCTCATTTAAACCTATTGAAGGTATTTGGTGTTTCTTTAGTAATTCCAAGCGATCCTAAAAATTATTTCGGTTTTACATAAGAAGATTTAACCGAGCTTGTGTTTCCCATCACATCACTCAGTATCTGTGATATCAGACTGCTGGTCACTCACGGTCTCAAATAGACTAAATGCCCGGCAGTCAGGAATATTCACCGAATTCCGACTGATATCCTCAATCAAACCTATTGAAAGTATTTGGTGTTTCTTTAGAAATGTCAAGCAATCCTTATAATTATTTTGGTTTTACATTCGACGAATTTACCGAGCTTGTGTATACCGCTCAGTTATCGACACTTAGCCATTTGCGAGACTGCCGGTCACACGGTCTCAAATAGACGAAATGCTCGGCAGTCGACAAAAATATTCGCCGAATTTCGACTGAAATCCTCATTCAAACCTATTGAAAGTATGTGAGGATTGTTTAGAAATTTCAAGCGATTCTTATAATTATTTTTTTTTTTTACATTCGACGAATTTATCGAGCTTGTGTATACTGTAAAATTGCTCAGTTTCTATCGACACAGCCATTTGTGAGACTGCCGGTCACGGTCTCAAATTGAACATGCTGCTGGGTCAGTGGGGTTTGCGGCGTGACAGCTCAGCTACGTATATCAGTATTGTGATGAATTAACCAAAACCAAACAAGTAACCGAAAGAAGAGTTGTAGTCTACTAAATAAAGGCCTAATACACATGTCAGGGCCGTAGCTAGCAGGAGGCAAGACGAGGCAATTGCCTCGTCTTAATTTTAGCCTTTTCGAATTTTTTTCTTAAAGATTGACTTTTCTGAAGAAAAATGCCACGGAAAATCCTTAAAAGAGCATTTCTAAACCTCTAGATTGCAAAGTTTTCTGGGAGGCATGTCCCCAGACCCCTCTAGCGGTTCGCGCCTTCGGCGCTCGAAACTTGCCTCGTCTTGTCCTGAAATCTGGCTACAGCCCTGCATGTATTGCTACCAAGTTTAAATATCAATGCTTATCTGAACCATTATGAAGAGAATTTAGAAGACTACCGAGTTTAAAGGAAGTCGTGAAATGTTAAGGTCTGAATAATTTTGAGCATTACTTGGAAAACATAATACTAATCACATTTCAGTTGTAACATTAAACTACTAGGTTCTTATAAGCAATGGAATAAATAGGCTTTGTTGAAAATCATTTGTGAAAACCAAAACATCACATAACTCCATGTTTTGTGTTATCCACCAACTTGTTTCAATACAGGCAAGTAAAATACATTTAAATAGAACATCATAGGCATCAAACTCCAAAAATGATCCAAAGTTATCCTTTGTTTTCACGAAATTGTCATGAGAGCCAATCCTTGATCGGTATTGTTCAATCGAGATTCTCGTACTTACTTTTGCCCTTCTGAAATATGCCTCCATGAATTCTGAACAGTGCAAGGAGAATGCAACTACAACGCAACTCATTTCACTTTATGGCTCTTTCAGGAGGCTTCAGACACTCTCAAACTCTTTCAGACACTCAGTGGTGCAACCCGCACCGCTAGATCAAACCGACTGTTGTTGGCTTGCTAGAGTGCAATGACTCTTTTCAGTGTTGTACAACCCGTACCGAAGATTCAAGCAGTTAAATGTTGTCTTTTAAGAGCGTAAAAGCTCTTGCACAAGCTGCAGTTATAACACAAGCCAGGTCTCGGTGTGTTGGTTTGTGTGAGGAGCACTAACTCGTGATACGATCACCAGAAAAAATTACTCGAGACCACGCTTACAACCAAGATGGCTGACTCAGACTTGTACGCCGTACGACACTAGACCACGTGACAAGCGCTTGACTCTCGTGGACAAATAAATAAATAAATAAATCAGATCGCCTAATAATGTGGCTACACACTTTTTTCAAGCCACGCAAAAATAGATGGGAATTGTTATGGTCTCCCTGTTTTGTGTTTGTGCGTTGACCTTATATGGTTTGTACATGCGCACGCATCTCATTCATTAAAACAGTTCTTTGCACCGAACCGCCATATTGTTTGGGTGTTGTCTCTGATTTCTCGGAATACATGACAGAAATGCTCGCTACTGTAGAATGAAGGGTTAAACTTGATACACCATATCGCAGGTGTTATCAGTGGGATTTGCAAAACTTTTTATATTCATTGATTTCGAGGAAATTAAAATGACACTGCCAGGAACTATATGTACAAAAAGGCACGCATAAAGATTAGGAATTATCATAACCTCAGTCATAGCAAGTAGCACAGGTTCAGGTGTATTTCAAATACTATTTCATGCCAGTCATCCTTCGGTCATATGCAACGGCGTTCGGGTCGGTCCACATTCTCGGGCAACAATACATTGTTACGCTCTGACGTCATAAATTTGTCAGTGTGCCTGCGCAGTTCAGAGATTTTGACTGCAAACGAGTTGGCTCTTTCTTTAAGAGTCTCAACATCTCCGGCTAAAGATTAAAATTTTGGCCATTTTACGGCTAACGGTTAATATCATTCCATTATTGTGACCAGAAATATTTTTATGGTTCACTTCTTTTACGACGAACGATTAAAATTTGTCGATATCTACGCCTTATAGCTAGGTTTGTGGCCATTTTACGGCCAACCCATTGACGTTTGCGATTAACCCTCTTAGTTAGTGGAGAAGACACGATTGATGCAAGCAATTAAAACGTTTCACTGGAATACGTCATCTAACGCCAAAACAGCTAATACGATGTTGAGGATAACTCACGCCAGAGAAGGGTGGGTCACTTGTAGCAGAATTTAACCTAAATTCTTCGTTAAATTTGACCACGATCCGCATCAGGTCCTTCAGTCTTTTTTCCGATGCAATTCTTATTTGTGTTTTGGTACTTCGATGATGTTGCTCATGATTGCTACTTTGGCGCTCAATAAAACTAGCGCTGAACCTCGAAAATTTAATTTTGTTATATTTTAGTCAGCTACTATAGTTGCTTTAGAAAGTAGACATTTGTGCAAGTCTTACACCGAAGAAACTAATCTGTTAAAATCTGTTACTCCTGTACTGTTTTTAGAAAAGCTTTACAAAGAGCCCGCTGTCCGTGTACCAACCCTCGCGCGTCTTTCTGAGATCGCAAGTAGCTTGGGCCTAGAAATGGGAGAGAGTGAGCTGATGGCTTATCGAGGTGGGAATCTTAGTAATTAGTTATTTGTAATAAATATTGTACATTTTTATCTGAGTCCAAGCGTAAATCAATTTGAAGCCAAGTTGGTCAGAGGAAAAATACAACTACCCAATATAGATGGAACACAACTTTATTTTAGGCTCTCCTATCATCAATTACCCTCCTCCCTCCATCTGTGGCAGCCAATATGGCTGCCACGTTTTTAACTGCTCCGCTGAAACTTTTATTTATACTTGTTCTACTGAAGTATTTCCTGTTCGACGACTACCATTGTGATGTCTATTCTTTTATCGGTGGATGTGCAAGTTTTCGGAGTTTAATTCGAATTAAGAGAGGAGCTTTCAAGCCTGAATACCTTCCCGCTCGTTCATTGTTTTCGTGGAGCAAACATAGCTACACTTGCATCTTCCTTCCCTCGACTACTGACATTACTATCTGCATGGATGTGGAACTTAATCCGGGTCCCTTTATTTGTCCGCGTTCTATAATAATAATAATAGTAATAATAATAGTAGTTTATTAAATTCTCTTGCAGTAACTTACTGAATTAACGATTTATGATACAATGAAAACTTAATAAGAACGACTATGTACATTTCTGTATACATTAAGTACAAGTTATATACACTACACGGAACATACATCACATTTGTTAAAAATACTTAAAAGTTAAAAAGGCTTCCGTGCGCTTCGTTCTACAGGTAGTAACGTTTCTGTAAAGATACAACTGGTCTGATTTGTGCCTGAGGTTATAGGGACAGGTATCGTCTAAGCGTGTTTGTAGAAGAGGATGGAGAGGGTGGTTTAAGTCCTTCATTTTGCACATATACTCTTTACATATCTTATCTCTTCTATACGCAAGGGTCTCCACCCGTGCTAACTCGAGGGCTACTGAGTAACTATCGGCACATGGGAAAATTATCTTAAGCACCCTTTTTTGTATGGATTCAATTTTTTCAGACAGATAACCTGAAATGGATTGCCCTACTGGTACGGCGTACTCTATAACAGATCTAACAGCGCTTGTATAGACCTTTAACATGCTACCTTGGTCAACGCCGGCTCGACGTAGAATACGTAGAGAGTAGAGCTTCTTGCAAGCTTTTTTATATATGTAGTTAACATGGCTATTCCACCAAAGGTCGCTATCGATGAATACTCCTAGAATCTTGTAAGTCGATACGCGTTCTATAGTGTTATTACCAATAACTAATGGTCTGAGAGTAAAATTAGGATAGGGTTTAGTCTCATGTTATGGTCCATGGAGAAATCGTGAATGTTAGAAACGATCGTATGGAGCAGACTGATAGAGGTCCTGGGTAGTATTTCTATGGCAGACGTGTCATCCACAAACTTGACCCTTAGGTGCCAATCAGCTAAAAGATTGTTTGTCATTATTGTGAAAAGTATCTCTCCTAATTTAGTTCGCTGTGGCACACCTCCCTTGAGGAATTTCCATTCTGATAGTGTTGTACCTATTCTTACAGCTTGCTGTCTGTCGGTTACGAACGCCGCGATCCAACTGATGAGCGCTGGATCAACCTCTAGTTTTCGCAACTCAGAGTTTGTTTCGCAACTCACAGTTTGTGGCTGACTCAAGGAGATTACTCAGTGAAATCGAGTTGTGACGTTGCACGTGTTGGCATTCGGTCTGTATCTTCTGTTCATCGTTTTGTATACGACCGTACTGACCTGTTGCGTTTGTGCCCTTTGCATTTTGATGTATGTGCATGGAACCGACCTCGGAATTGGAAGTATCGTGCTGAGAGAGCTGGCGGAGTCCTTCCAAGAAAATATAGGGGATCTAGGGCTGGAAAGTTGCTTCAGGAGAAAAGAATACACTACTCATATAATATTCAACCTTTGGTTTCTCATCCAAGTTCTCGATCAAGTTTTGCATATTCCAGGAGTACTTCCAATTGTTCAAACCACAGTAATCTAACGACAATACCGTGCAAACCAAGGGAAAGTAGATATACACCGGTAGTTTGCCCTGCACATTTCTGCCTTATAAATGCTCGTTCGGTAAACAACAAGACTCTTCTTGTCAAAGACCTTGTTACTGAACATTGTATTGATCTGCTTGCTGTCACGGAAACATGGTTGCAATAAGAGATTGATAATGATTTTATTATTCGTGATCTATGTCCTACTGGCTATTCATTTCATCATGTTTCACGACCTGGCACCGTTCGCGGTGGCGGAGTCGGTTTATTGTTTCGATCATGCTTTAATATGAAGCCGCAACCATGCAGGAAATTTATTTCGTTTGAATACATCGAATTATTACTGACTTCGGTTGGTAAAACCTTAAGAATGGTTATTGTGTATCGTCCACCTCCCTCGACTACTAATGGCCTATCGACTACTATTTTCTTTGATGAATTCTCCACGTTCTTGGAGAAATACATTACTATTCCTGGCAGCTTGTTAATGGTTGGCGATTTCAATTTTCAGGTTGACACCTGTGACTCTGAATACGCAACCACATTCCTTCATTTGTTGGATGTATTCAATCTTAATCAACACATAAATGGATGTACACATAAGGATGGTCACACCTTAAGGCACGTGCAAACGCTCGCAACAACACGCAACATTGTTGGGCCAACATTGTTGTCTCTTGTTGCCCAATGTTAGCCGATGTGTGCAAACGCTCGCAACAAGTCACAGCATGTTGGATCTTTAGATGAGAATACAAAGGACTCTGGGACACAAATTCCCAAACTAGTAATCTTCGCCTTTATTTCTGTAACATCAATGTCCAGAATGTCTCTCATATCTTCGAAAGCTCTTTCGCGTTTGTTTCGCACATGGTAGTTAATTTTTGTTGACATCCCACAAGCAATCTTTTTCCTCAAGAAGATCGATCAGTTAATCGATTTCCGGTTCCGTCCACCTTCTAGCTCCTCCTCTGTCTTTTCCGTCACTAGCCGCTTTCTTTCTGCCTTTGGTTGCTGTTAATTCCTCGATTAATTCCTCGTTCACTGACGTTTTCCATCTCCGACGCCATGTTTATTTCTTGTTCGCATGTATTTGCGTTTTGAAATCTCAATAGATACGTGGCATGTAGTGTGCGTGCGCCGGCGCAACATTGTTGGATGTGCTGTGCAAACGAACGCAACGTTGTTGTACCACGTTTCGATGACCGTGAAACAATAGAAATGTTGGCACTTGTTGGCTCTTTACTTTGACCAGTTTCAAACTTCATCCAACAACTTCCAACAAGTCGCAACAACAAGCAACAACACACAACAGGGTGTTCAAACACTTGCAATGTGTTGGGCCCGACAATGTTGCGAGCGTTTGCACGGGCCTTTAGATCTTGTTATTCCTAGATCTGACGATGACATTATCTCTGATTTTTCTATTGATTCTTCTTTTATTATATCTGATCATGCCGCTATTCACTTTTATCTGAAGCTCAAAAAGCCAGTGTTTGACAAGAAGCTTATTACCTTTAGAAAGCTTCCTTTAATAAGTTTGGTTCTGATGTCTTGAATTCTAGTCTTCCGAGTCATTTTGCTGCGCCGCTTCCGTGTCTTGATGTCCTAATCATTCAGTACAACGACGTTCTAAGTTCTATACTTGACATCCATGCTCCTCTTGGGACAAAGACTGTTACTCTGCGTCCTGCTGCAGCTTGGTATTCTGAGGAAATAAGTAGTTTGAAAAAACATCGTAGAAGATTGGAATGGCGATGACGAAGGACTAATTTTCCAGCCGATCGCCAATTGTTTATTGATCAATGCTGCGCTGTCAACAACTTACTTTGATTTTCCAAGAAATCTTATTACACATCAGTAATCAACGAAAATCAGTCGGAGTATATACTTCTTTTCAAGACTATTGAAAATCTTCTACACAGAAAGTGTGATACACCTTATCCGCCATCTAACTCGCCGTCGGAGCTCGCAAATACGTTTATCGAGTTCTCTTCTCATAAGATAACTAAAATACGTGTTGACCTTGATGCTGCAGCTCCTATTCACTCAGATCCAGAAGTTAATTGGGTCTGTCCTTATACGTTTGATGAGTTTAATATGGTAACCGTTGATGACGTCCGTGAATGTGTTGGGAAACTTTCTTCCAAATCATGTGAACTGGACCCACTTCCTGGCTTTGTCACAAGTAACGTTCTGGACACACTGCTGCCGTTTATCTCCAAGATTATTAATACGTCACTGCAATCTGGCCAAATGCCCTCTCATTTAAAAGTTGCCAAGTTACGCCCTCTTCTTAAGAAGCCTTCTCTGGATCATACGCAGTTTTCAAACTATCGCCCCGTTTCAAATCTTACCTTTATCAGCAAAGCAATTGAAAAGTCTGTTGCTAACCAACTGATTACTTATATTAACCAAAACAATTTGGACGAGACACTTCAGTCAGCCTATAAACAGTATCATAGCACAGAAACGGCTCTCATTCGCGTGCAAAATGACATCCTCACAGCCATTGATAACCGTAGAACAGTAATTCTATTACTTTCAGATCTCTCTGCTGCCTTCGATACGGTTGATCACGATATATTCCTTTCTCGTCCACATGAACGCTTCGGAGTTACTGGCAAGCCATTTTTATGGTTTCACTCTTATTTGTCCGATCGCATGCAGTATGTGTCTGTAGATGGCGGAACTTCCTTGAAACATGCTCTTCAATGTGATGTTCCACAGAGTTCTGTTTTGAGACCCATTTTGTACCTTCTCAACACGTCACCGCTCTCTGACATTGGTAAGAGATTTAACTTGAGTTATCATTTTTATGCTGATGATTCGCAACTTTATTTGTCCTTTCAGTGTGTCTAACATTGAGCGTTGTGTACATGAGATTGATCACTGGATGTTGGTTAACCGTCTTAAACTAAACAAGGATAAGACTGAATTACTAGTGATCTGTGCTAAACATCTACCTATGCCAACTGTTCTAGAAATCTCTGTCGTCAGTGAGACCATCCGCTCCTCGAAGAAAGCTAGAAATATTGATGTTACTTTTGACAATCATTTTCTTTTCAGCGATCATGTTGCAAGTGTTTGCAAATCATCTTTTTACCATCTCCGTAATATCAGCTATATAAGAAAGTACTTGTCGTCGACCACTACTGAAATACTTGTTCATGCATTTGTATCTTCAAAATTAGATTGTTCAAATTCATTACTCCATGGACTTCTGAACTACCAAGTAAAAAAGTTACAGCACGTCCAGAGCGCCGCTGCTCGTCTCATCTCTCTTTCAAGAAAATATGAACATATTACGCCTATTCTGTTAAATCTTCACTGGCTTCCGATTCCTTATCGCATTATGTTTAAAATTCTACTCATCACGTACAAAGCTCTTAACAATCTTGCACCATCGTACATTCGTGATCTACTCACACCTCACGTTCCAGCTCGTCAACTACGTTCATCATCTAAAAATCTTCTTGTGATTCCTTGTTTTAATTTGAAGACATACGGTGCAAGATCTTTTTCCGTAGCTGCCCCCACACTCTGGAACACTTTGCCGTCCGATATTATGAACAGCCCCTCAGTGTCCGTTTTTAAAAATAAACTTAAAACTTTCCTTTTTAAATGCATTTTTATAATTTTACTATTGTGTCGCTCTTGTTAAGCGCTTTTGAACTTTGAGGAATTTAGCGCTATATAAATACTTTATTATAATTATTATTATTATTATTATTATTATAAATGGCTGGTCTTTGATGCATTAGAGATTTCGATAAAACTGACTCCTCAACATCAATTACCTTTTTTTTTAAATTTTATTACATTTTTTATCATTATCATTGTTGTTACTACTATTATTGTTTCTGTTATCATGATTATTATCATTATAAGTATTATTATTAATTTTTTCAGAGGCAATTTCCAATACTCTGGCTGATACGTATCAGCGGTTGTACGAGTTACCAGATCCCAAACTGCCAGTGAAATATCCACGAACATCAGGTTACAGACCATCACCGGAAGACAACCCCTACAATGCTTGGTAAGTAAAATGTCAGAGAAAACTTCTTAATCCAATGGAAATCTCCCGTTTATGACAAAAACCCCACTATGATATACTGTATATGCGTTGGCGCGTAGCTTTTCAATCAAACTCTGCCACGGAGGATATTTACAAATTCCCACTGTTGATTCTTAACTTATGAATTTCAATCTGGACTTTTTGAGGTAATTTAGTGAACACATAATCCTCGCAATTGAACTGCAGTTAAAGAAATTGCATGGAAAAAACGCCTAAAATTCAGGCACCGACAGGATTTGAACCTGTGCACCCCACATACAAGATGCACGCTGCTACAACTGAGCTACATGTTTAAAGCTTTAAAGCGAGGCAATTGTCGTTTGAATTACATTATTTACATAAATTGCTATCCCTCGCCCCAAACATGTGGCTTCGTAGCTCAGATCACCAGCTTGTTCATCATACGCATGTGGAAATGTAATAATTTGATTTTGAGGTATTGGCGATGTGATATAAGAGGAGCATCAAGTGGCAAACTTCATGGCAAGACTGTGGCTATCAAAGACAATACATGTGTGGCAGGGGTACCCATGATGAATGGCTCACTTACTTTGGAAGGATTTGTCCCGGATGTGGATGCTACTGTAGTGTCCCAAATATTGGATGCCGGTGGAAACATAATTGGGAAAAGTGTTTGCGAAGATTTGTGTTGTAGCGGAGGCAGTTTTACTGCTGCCACTGGTCCTGTGGTTAATCCACACAATAACACGAGAATGTGTGGAGGGTCATCTTCAGGATCTGCAGCTTTGGTTAGTATGAAAGTATAACAATGTCCGTCCCCCCCTCATCCACCCCCCATCCTCCTCGCAATGAGGAGACCCGGCAGTATGCGAGAAAAATTTCTCTTCCAAAATCTTATCATTGCAAACAATAATCTCCAAACTGTCCATCATTACATTGCTTTCACTCAACGAATAACCTGGTCTTCATGCCTACCTTGGAGAGACGGAACAGGACCCTTGTTCAATGTCCATTTGTTTCGTTCTGATCACGCATTATATCTCAACAAGAACCTTTTTTACTTTTTGATAAATTTCATTACAAATTGCTTTGCATAGCCACGCTTCTTAATTACGCCCATGCCTTATCGTTGTTTTTAAGGTGGCTGGAGGTCAAGTGGACATGGCAACCGGTGGAGATCAAGGAGGTTCTATAAGGATCCCTGCTGCCTGTTGCGGCATTGTGGGACTGAAACCTACATACGGGCTAGTTCCGTACACAGGCATCATGCCGATAGAGTTTACTTTGGATCATACAGGACCTATGGCCAGGACTGTGTATGATACAGCTCTGATGTTGGAGGTAGGTCGACAAGTTATGACAAATATTAGAACTCCCGAAAATATCTGGTCTGCGACTTTCCAGTAAAAGAAATGGATGGATTGTAGCATAAGAATCTTGATTTATCGTTTTTTCACTGTCGCTCCAAATGATGCCTAGATTCAGGAGGAGTTTAATTATATAACAGAGACTCTTAGATCAACCATGATAAGCGGGTGTAGTTATAGATTAAAAATATTGTAAAAATGCGCAAATTCATTTATGGAAAGGGTATATTAACGATTTACGACTCTTCAAATTTTAAAATAGGCTATGGCTGGCTATGACGGGGGACTTGACCCCAGGCAGCCACAAGATCTCAAGGTGCCGAAGTATACTTTGTGGGTAGGTCTTTTTTGGAATTTCATATGCGATGAATCGATCATTTATATGAAACAGTGGAAAATTGAACGTTCTGTGTCTCGTCCCTAGATAAGAGTCTACCAATTCATTTTACTTTGTCTCGCTGAATTAGCTTTTGTTCAGTTAGTTTAAGGAAGACTCCTCGCGGAGAGAGCCTGGAAAGACAAGAGGTGATGTGGAATTGAACCTGACTTTATAGACGACANCTGATCTCTATGTACTGAGTCTTTCCGCAGCAAGTCTTCCTAGTTGTATAGCAAACCGTGGCTTGGGTACTCTCCCCAGGCTTCAAGTTATCAGGGTGTGGCTTGAGAAGATAGGCAGGAAACTTGGCGCCACATGCAGGAGACTTCAAGCAGCCACCTCCATTTTGGTCAGTAATTGGATGAATTAAGGCAGTTTGAATTAGTGCCAGCTAATATATAAGCGCAGAGAGGCAAAAACCATGTCAGGCTCCTTTACACACAGATATTCGTTCCATGATTGTGTCACCGAGGATAAATGCACAATACTGCCTCATCAAAGAAAAAAGGAAAGACATAAAACAATGGGTTAAGAACTTACATGGTGGCCATTTTGTTTCCTGCGTCACCAGTAAATCGGTACCAGTCCTCTTTCCATGTTTTCCGTTTATCTGATTTCCTTGTCAGCTTGTTGAACCCTGCTGCACGATCAGCGCCACGCAGTGTGCGATAATCAGAACACGGGTCCTTTTCATATCCATCTGAGGTAGATATGAAATAGAGACATATTGCACTAGATAAAGACTCGCTGAAGAAAATTTGTCGTGTATTCACAAAGTAAACCAAGAGATGCTTGGGAATTTTCCTGATTTAATCCACAACATTAATCCTCACCACTGCAAGATTCGTCCTCTTTAATCATAAATACCCAGTGGATGTGCTCTGTTGTACAATGTATAACAATATGGGGGTGGGGTTGGGGAGGTAAAGCCAGAGCTTATCATTCCTAATTCATTACTTTGGGAACACACGAGGATTGCGAGTGATTTTTAAAAACCGTTTTCGAGTTTACACGCTACATCCCAAGTGAGAAAAGACGTGTGGAAGCGTCAGCGATACGGATAAACCAATAAAACGAAGTGGGGAAGTTAACATAAATTGCACATGACAGAAATATGAACAAAAAATGGAACAGCCTCGACATACATTTATTCCGGAATCTTATCGCTTTAAAATCCTTCCCTTAAGACCTTAACTTGTCTTTAAAATCTCTCATTATGCCTTATCATTTGTGGGAAGCGCGGTGCCCTCATGGTTGGTGCGCTCGACTCCGGATCGAGTGGTCCGGGTTCGAGCCCCGGCCGGGACATTGTGTTGTGTTCTTAGGCAAGACACTTTACTCTCACAGTGCCTCTCTTCACCCAGGTGTTTAAATGGGTACCAGCAAATTTAATCCGGGGAGGTAACCCTGCGAGGGACTAGCATCCCATCTAGGCCGCTTCATGCTACGGAAACCGGAGTTAAGCGCCGGCCCGATGAGCCGCATGGCTCGTAATTATGAGTAGACTTTACCCCCTCCCCCACTTATGCCTTATCATTTGACCTAAGACTCATAATCATTTCAACTTACGAGCCACATCCACTTCGGCTAAGCAAAGTACCAAGAGGAGGCCAGCTAAAAAGGCCCGTCCTGTCTATACAATTAAAGAAAATAAATGATTACAGTTAAACGTGTAATTTGCGTGTAAGAATTTAATTCGTGGGGACTTCAGATTTTTTCAACTTTGTCGTGCGCTCATGAAAAAGGAATGACATATTTCTTTAGTATATACTAAATCAGGGGATAGCGTTGAAGGAACTCTTATTGGTTACTCAAACTCCGAATGTCCTTCGCTATTGACCCTCGTGAAACTTGCTCGGGAATTTGCGCCCTAAAATATTATAACCGTTGCAGGAATGAATGAATTTAAATCATTTTTTGTGCCATATTATCTCGCACTTCCAGTTTATACAACTTCAACAACTATCCAAATCAGTGCAGGTGGCTAGCAGTTTCTCGGCTCTGTAAATATCCACCACTTGCCACCTCCACTGTGGTGAATATGTAATTGTTGAATAATTCAGCAGATTGCTTTGTAATAGGGCGACTGAAAGGCCTATCTGCTGTTTGCAAGCATTGTGTGGTAAGTTCTTTTTTATTTATCTAAGGTGTGATTTGATTCGCATGCAGAGTGAATTTTTAATTAAGCAACGAGCGTTGACTCATACACAAGAGGGTCTCAATGGGTTGATGGCTTTTACGGCTAACGATTAAAATTTTGGCCAATTTACGGCTAACGGTTAGTATCATTCTATTGTTGTCACCAGAATTTTTT